TGCTCATGGCCACCCCAGCATCAACCTGCTGGGCTCCAGCGATCCTTCCGCCTCAGCCTTCCAAGAAGCCAGAACTACAGGCACGTGCTACCACGCCTGGCTAATTTTTTATTTATTGTAGAGATGAGGTCTCACCATGTTGCCCGGGCTGGTCTCAAACCCATGGGCTCAAGCAATCCACTCACCTCAGCTTCCCAAAGTGCTGGGATTATAGGCTGAGCCACCGAGCCTGGATTTTTTTTTTTGATTTTTTTTTAATTTTAGGTTCAGGGGGTACACGTGTGTTCGTCACATGGGCATATTGTGTAGCAGTGGGAACTGGGTTTCAGGTGGCCCATTCTCCAAGGGATTTTCAAGAGTAATTGTTACTTATGTGGTGGGTTTTTTCTGCCCCCCCCCCCCCGCCCCCCGCCTATGAGGGAACTTTGGATCCCAGGTGTCCTACACACCAACTTCACATGCACCATTCACACATCAGGGACTTCTGCCCCCGTGGCCTGGTACTCTGTAGAACAGCTCAAGATCAATTTCACTTGATAAGAGCCCTCCCACAAGAATGATAGTGTTTAATGATCATTTCTGGTATTTAGGAGATTTAGGATCAAATATTAAACCTCTACAGCATATGGAATGGCTGGCAGGGAAGGTTAATAAAAAAGACTAAAAAAAAAAATACTCTGAGCTGGGTGCAGTGGCGCATATCTGTAATCCCAGCACTTTGGGAAGCAGAAGTAAGAGGATTGCTTAAACCCAAGGGTTCGAGGTCAGCCTGCACAACCTGTCGAGACCTCGTTGCTACAATAAATGAAAAAATTAGCCAGGCGTGGTGGTGCCTGCCTGTGGTTCCAGCTGCTTGGAAGGCTGAGGCAGAAGGATCGCTGGAGCCCAGCAGGTCGACATGGGTGGCTGTGAGCATGCCATGCACTCTAGCCTAGACATCTAGAAAGTTCTGAAGAATGTGATCCTATTAGATGGACCCACCAGGTTTGTGAACTTAGAGAGCTGCCAAGGTGCCCTTGTATAAAGCAGTAAAGTAGAAATTTCTGGGGCAGCAAACCTCCTCCCTGGTGCTTCACCTGTGACCTGGCCTCCCTTTTTTCTGAGTAGACTGAAAACGTACACGAGTTAGTAGCCTCTTTGCAGTCTTGAAAAGTTATGGCCACCTTGCATATGACTATGGCCACCTTGCAACTCTAGCTGTGAACACATTCATCATGCATAAGTCAATTATTTCAATGAGTACCTCAATTATGGGACCCTCGAAAGAATAGGCAGTGGAGTATGGTGTTTAGTCATCATTTATGATATTTCGGAGATTTAGGCTCAAATATCAAAGCTCTGCCATTTAAAAAAAAAAAAAGTGACCGGGCTCGGTGGCTCAGCCTGTAACCCCAGCACTTTGGGAGACCGAGGTGAGTGGATTGCCTGAGCCCACGGGTTCGAGACCTGCCTGGGCAACTTGGTGAGACCTCATCTCTACAATAAATCAAAAATAGCCAGGTGTGGTAGCGTGCGCCTGTAGTTCCAGCTACTTGGAAGGCTGAGGCGGAAGGATCGCCGGAGCCCAGCGGGTCGAGGCTGCGGTGGCCAGGAGCGGCCACTGCACTCCAGTCTAGGTGACAGAGTGAGACTCCAACTTAAAAAAAAAAAAAAAAAAAAGCTTGCAAGCTTGGATGGGCACATTATTTAAACTGTCTAAGCTTTACTCTTTTTTTCTCATTTGTACATTTGATAAGAACCCTACCTCATTGGCTTGGTGAGTTTATCAGGGTGATGAATCTAACACCCCACACAGAATGAAGATTTGCATGCACTGACTACAAACAACAGATACAACTCTCTGAGCAGCTAAGACGGATCACAAATCCTGTGTGACAATCATTTCTTGCTCAGACAACCCATCAGGCTAACGCTCTGAGACTACATACTTTTATTTTGACAGAGATGATTGACCATGGCTTAGACATCGTTTTGACAGGGGAAGCCCTCTGGTTTCCCATGACCTGGCACAAAAGGAGCCCCAATAATCTCAAGGTAGGGACAGGCAAGCGGTCAGTGCCGTGAAGGACAACTGTTCAGAACCAATCCAACAAAACAAGGCTCAGTTTTAAGAAGCTAAGGGCGTCTGGAAAGGAGAAAAGTAGCCTTCCCTTCCCAAGAGTCCCTGAAGGCACCACTGTCTTAGAGAATAATACAGTAATTCATGCTGATGGTGAAGTGTGCCTCAGCCTTCCGGAAAGTTCACATATGCTCACTATTTTAAAAGGCAGAGAACCAGGTTTTCTATTACCAGGCAAACACTATTTTTAAAAAATAGTGCTTGAAGACAGAGGAACTTGTGTTTTATCCTCTTGGGTAAAACAACTTAGCTTCCAACAAGCTAGATACATGAAGTGTCACTGTGTTTATAAAGCTTAAACACCTCTGCAAATCATCACCACCCCTCCCAAAAGACAGTGGCTATTTAACTTTGGTACAAAGAATCGGGGTCGACCTGCCTGTGACTCTTTAATGAATGACGCGTTGTTTTCTGATATGCCCCTTTCAAGTCATGCTCCAGAGAGGTGCAGTGAAAAACGACAGACAGAAACCAACCACAAACAAGACTTCCCACATATGCTCTTCCGGATGGTGGAATCTGGAGAATTCTGCCTCTCTCTGCACTTGAGATTCCTTGACCATCACATGAGGGAGACCAGACGAGATGGTCTTCTGGGTCTCGTCCAGTCAGATGTTCTGGGGTGAAGTTACCTGACCCAACTCACAGGTACCCAGTGGGGGTCCTTGCTCAGTTTCTCCAAGACCACTCTGAGCTGGCTGTAGGCACCCTCGAGGTCCTCTCTCACCAGCACAGCGTCCACCAGGTGCCCATAGTGCTGGTCTATGAAGGCAGCGGAGGCGGCCATCTCTTGCTGTTCCTCGTCCTGCAGGAAGAGGGCAGGATGGAGCAACCAGGCTGTTCTACCAGACAGGGATCCCCAACCCTGGGATGTGGGCCTGTACAGCACAGCAGGACGTGAGCAGGGGAGAGGCTGAGCTCTGCCACCTGCCAGATCAGCAGCGCCATTAGGTTCCATGGGAGTGCGAGCCCTCTTGTGAACTGTGCACGTGAGGGATCTAGGTTGCATGCTTCTTACGAAAATCTGATGCCTGAAGATCCCCCCCAGCCCCCACCCCGGTCTGTGGAAAAACTGCCATCTACAAAACCAGTCCCTGTTGCCAGAAAGGATGGGGACTGCTGTGTTCCAACCTTTAATTTTTAAAGGATGGGTGGATGGCTATGCCCCATGAATAACCAACTGTGTAAACAAGAACAGAGTGTAGCGACATGAGGTCAAGCTTTGAAGAAAGCTATGAGCAACAGACATGGACACCGTTTGGTGTCCACTCACTCTCAAAATACCTACTGAGGACCTGTGTACTGAAGACATGACGTGAAGTACTTTAGGGGATGCTGATTCTGTATTTGTGTACATATGTCCATATCCCATTTCCTGCCCTCAAAGCATTTCCAGTTATGGCAATGCATGGCAATTTCGTGTGGCTCAGTCTGTAATCCTGTGCCTTTGGGAGGCTTAAGTTAAGTAATTATGAGAAAGAACTCCAAGTCATATTGACTATGTGAAAGCAAAAGCAAGCACTTCGGAATCAACTGGGGATGAAGGAGAGGAGAGCCCCAGTGCCCTCTGAAGACTCCTGTGGGACTCGACTCTTCTTTCCACTTCCTCATCCCAGGCCAGACACTAGCAGAGGAGACAACGTGGAATTCCATAAGAAATGCTGGACAACTCTCATCAGATTCCCCGTTTCCTCAAGGCATCTGACTTTTTTTTTTTTTTTTTTTTTTTTTT